TATATATATATATATCATCTCAATTATCTTATTTCGCATTTTCAATTTCTTTTGACCACTTTTAATCGAGCAAAATGAATTTGTAGCTTGCGAATTATTTTTCTGACATCCACTCGCTCATAACTTGACCACGTAATTATTGAGATTAAGATATGCTAATTATTTTGTTTATGTACAAATCTTTTCCAGTTTCTTCATTTTCTTCACCGTTAGCAATACTTGCACTATACTTTGTTCACATCAGAAATTATTTGTGTTAATCAGAGTTTGACATTTTCTTAAATAAATAAGAAGTTCTTTTAGTACCTGGCATTCAATCGTGGTTACCTTTACAAACTGAATTGGTTCACTTTTTGAAATAGATGAGGTCTTATCTTAGCTTCGGAAATCATTGAAAATTGCATATAATATTTCAGTTATTGCTGAAGGTTGACTTAAATGAGTTTATTTCCCTTTCCCTTACTTGAAATTATGTCGAAAATGCTTTTCTAGTAATATTCCACTGTAATTGTTGATTTATCAGTCAATCCTTAAAAAGGCGAAGTTTTAAAATGTGGATGAAACTCCCAAATTTCACTTTTTGACCTTTGAAAATGACTTTCGGTTCATTCAAAATAATAAGAACAAAAGGTCTTTGCCTGTCATCTTGCATCTTGTGCATAGATTTTGACCTTACTAAAACGTGCAATATGAATAATTTGAAATGTTCCTTATTTGCGAAGTGAGCTTTATTGTGAGGAAGTATTCGCTTCTCGTCTTGCAATGTTTGCTGGTTTGAAGCGTTTGTGGTTGCATTGAAATTTGAAAGGATGGCTAGTGAGTGCTAAGAATAGAAGTAGTAGAAGCTTGTCAACTTGAAAAAAGTTTTGTTTTTTCCATTAAAGAAATTTTGTAGTGGACATGGAAGTCAGCTTAGTCTAATCAGCTGCAATTTGTTTTTGAACGGTGATCCGGAATGCTTTCTGGTTTCATCTCCAGACAACAATTTATGATAGCTTCACAACTCTTAATCTGACTTAGAAAATACTAAACTCACTAAAATAAGAACTGTACAATTTCAAGATGTAGTTGTGATTTGCCGAATATTTTGACAGATTGGTCGCACTTTGTCTTTGCTTTCAGAAATGTCATTATTATAGTCTTTTGGCTATTTATCGATTCTCCCGCATTATTGCAATATTTCGACACTTGAAATCCGTCAGATGAAAACTGTCAGATGCATAATGTGTAAATTTTTCTACATCTGTCTGATATGTTTCTTCAACATAACGTAGAGACAGTTTTCATTATATTGTTATTTTGCGTAATTTGCTTGTCACACTTTGAGTTTGGATGTAGATGCTATTAACAGACGTGGCAGTTTTTAATCCGTAGACTTGCTCAAAGAATATTACATTTTTACAGCTTTTCATTTCACCATTCTCTTCATAATTTTTTGATCTTTTTTTCAATGAAATGATTTTGACATGTTCCATAACACTTTTCTGATCTAAAAACCAGCTCACCTTGATTTTATTATTGCTTTCTTCATGATAATTAGCCCACATTTCTGATACTGCCTGATTGATTTCACATACACATTAAATTCTTGATATAGTCTTTTGAGTTTCATGTTCTCCATTTCCTGTCTTAAAATGCTTTGTCTAAAATTGATTTTGTGAAGGGATATTATCTCACTTAATCATCGATCATCTCTTATGCATAATTGTAAATCGAAATGATGAAATGGGAGGTTGTATACTTAATTATTTTGACTGCATACTTTTCTGTTCAAAATGCGAACGTGAACTGCTACTTTCTCTTAATTGTTATATTCAAATTGATTTCTTTTTACAGTACACATGAAGCAGATGAAAATTGCAACAGTGAGAGCTTGGATCAGCTTGAGCATCCATGCATTCTTGCTAAGCACTTATTTGCTTTATATTAGATTAGTATATACTTAATCAGGAATCCTCACTTGACGCACATTTAAGATTGATAGTAGATACTGTTCATTTACTCACAGACGACAGCTCATTTACTTGCACCTTTCTTTTTACATTGTATTTCGCAGGAGTTAGAGTAAGTATATTGAGTTCATAAAAACAATTTAGTGAAGTGGAGGCGAAGCTCAGGTTGATTAATATCTGTGCTTCGTTAAACATTTTAGTTTCATCTCCATCAGAGTTGGTAAACATTTGCGTTCTATTAAGATTCATTACCAGAAATTGTCTTTTTCTTTAAGTCTCAGATTTAACATTGAAATTATATTGAAATGATAGTAATGAAAAACTTGCACTGCAGAAATTCTATCTTCATTATGACATTATTCAGTCATTTGTGATGCAAATTTATTCCTTATTCTGTTTATTTTACTGCATGCAAAATCACCACCCTTGTGAGAAACAGTCTCTGTAGAAAACTTTCGAAGAGAAGCTAGTGAATTATTTTGTTAGCTGGTGCTTGCTTACTTTTTTCAGCTAATATTTTACTTTTTATGCTCAGAAATCTTTTCCTCTCACTGTGAGCAGTCTGTTACTCAGATCACAGAGATGAAATTTCGGCTTATTACACTCATTCTGCCGACTTTTGAATCGATATTGAAAATCTTTAAAGGCAGGCAAGCAAAGCAATTTGAATTGCATAACCACAAATGTTGTTAGTATTTGTAGTAAAAAATGCAAAGCCGATACAGATTTAATTAGGAAATGTGTGAGGTAAGATACTTGAAACAGTTAAAGTATTTTGAGCAGTCTAATCATTGCTTAAGAGCAGCATTCGTAATCAGTGAGCACTGAATGACCATAAAATGGTAATCCTTGCGTGTACTAGGAGTTCACCTTCCATTTCTGCCTAATGATATTGATTAGAAGTTAAATATTTTCTGTAAAAAACTGTTAATACATTATTATTGTTGAAATCAAGAAAGTTTTGCTGATTTACATATCTTACTTCGCTGTTACCGTGAAAGAATCATTTCACTCAAATGCCAAAACTACACTTTATTGGTTTGTTACATGGCTATCTATTTAATTTGTGAAAAACAGTAGGACCAGAATTGTATTTCAGTCGACAACCATTAAATGACTGTTTGGCAAGAAAGTTTTTTGATTGATCTCTCGAACTTTTGCTTTACTTCTCATTACTGTTGACTTGCACATGGCAATGTCATTTTACGCCAGTACTTGGATGAAATGCAATAGAAGTTTGATTGTGTGCCGATTTTAGAAATTAAACAAGTGTATGTTACTTCTGGAAAATCATACTTTTGTAAGGACGAAAAATAGTAGCTCGAATAACGTCATAGCCTCCTCAATCATTTTTTATTCGTGAAATAAGTATTGTTATCAGAAACCATATTCAGAACTGCTTTTTGTTATCTAAAACTGAGATTAAGTACTAATTTCTGGCACACTGCCATTATCAAGACAATCTGGAATGCAGCGGTTTTTTGGTCGTCGTGTGTCTAACGAAGGACATAGATCGGGTAAATTTGATTTTCTAAATAAAAAGTAAATAAGTACAGAGCTTTTTTTGATTTGTATAACGAAAATTATTACTGGAGAGCAGTTATCAACAAAAGACTTTAAGTGATATTGCTAGAAATCAGTTTCAGCGCTAAATTAACTATTCAGAAAAATAAAACGATAAGAAAGCAGATAATTTGAATGGTTTATTAATTTTTCAAACATGAGTACAACTAAGTGTAAAAATTACAATCATATTTCACATATCCTAAACAATTTAATGAATTTATACGAGTCAAATATTAAAAAATCGGGTTATTATGCAAAATTTTATCGCAGCATATGAAAATAGTGATTTTATAGCTTCTTTACACACTAATCAACTGATCAGCAGCGATATAAGCAGCAGTGACTCGAGCGATTCTGAAACATTTGAGCATGACCATTTGCACGGGGAAGCTGCCATGCACCTCATTAGCAATTACAGCAATAGCATTACTAACAATGCTAATCTTTCTAGTCGCAATCAGCAACAACATCATCATTACCACCATTCAAGAGTTCGCTTCACATTTTGTCATCAGTTTTCACTTATTAAGGAAATCAAACTTCATAATCAGTATTTCGATTATCAGTAAATAAAGGCGAATTTATTTTTTCATTACCTTTTGTGTCACCAGCAGTAGTTTCGAGTTACAGTATTAATTAGTTTTATCGTCCAAGGCAGGGATTTACTTACCTTACAGTCGAAGAAATTAATTAAATTGAGGGCGCAGTAGTTCAAGGGATTTTCATGAACAAATATTTTCGGCACTGATGTGATGAACACTGGTGTATAGATAAATGAAGGCTCAGAAAATCCTGACCTTGTAAAAGATGGCAGGTTTCACTTACTGTAAGCGATAAACGTAGGTTCTTCAGCAGTATTTGAAGATATAATAAATAAATGTTATTCGTTTGACATATGACTGGTTCAAAGTACAGTTATCACTTACTTTAGAGAAGAAATATTTGACTGTTTAATCGTATTTGAATATGCACTTACGTGTCCTTTCGGTACATGAGTATGTAATAGCTTCAGCAACAAAGATAACCAGTATAATGCAGGACTTGAGGTTTCTGTCAGCAATCTCTGTTGTGCTGGTAATTTAGAAAAGCCATATGACATGCATTATATCTACTGTTGTGAGGCAGCTACTGTTATACTTGATTGCTAAAGTATTGTTTTTCTGTTTTATGGCAATTGCTTTTTTGATCACTTTTGCATGTTTGTATATCTTTACAAAGTGGTGCAAAATTTGCATAAGTAACTAATGCCTAAAATATGTTATAGTCACATCATCGAACATGTCGTGCTAAACGAAGCAAACGGACGATGCATTCAGGGGCTAGCGCTGTAGCTAGTTTGCGTTCAAAACGATATCAAATTCTGAAAACGGATGCAAGCACCCAGTCTCGAGTGCACCCGACCATTACAGCAAGGCAGAACCAGGTTAATACTAAATATCATTTCGAACTTCCACCTTGCTGGTAGTGTTATACAAAGTAGTCGGTAATTCAACGGTCATATTTGAAAAGTGCAGATTGAATTTATGATTTATCATCTTAGAAGAAAGTAAAAGCACTTCTTATTTATAAAGTTTTTATATAAAATTAGTAGCTGATCACACCATCACGTTTAGCGTTAGACAGAAAATTCTTAAAGAGTTATTGGTATTGCGACTCGAGTCAGAAGTGTGTAGCCTTGCTCATTACTTAAAATTTGGGATAATTTTGTCTCATATGAGTTTATTAATAAAAGAAAAAGCAGATTGCTGTGAAATACTATTTTAATGAATAGTCGTGAAGTGAACATGAGATATTACAAAGAACACTGGGAGCAATAATCTTTTTAGTGTCTTTAAAGCTTTAGCTTGCAAACTTGCAAACTCATAGATCAGTTGTTACTGTATTTGCAATTCGTTGCCAACGAATTTTTGGAGAGGAAATTATTTCTCAGTGAATGAGTAAATGAGTAATTGAGCGATTTAAACGAGAATAACTGGTTCATAGCAACACGTTATTTCCTACATTCAACATTTTCTGCCTAAAGTTTTATTTTTTCAATCTTGGAGAGTTGCTGTTCTGAAGATTTTTCATTTCCTTCAGTCATCATTTTTGGAGTACCTTTATGCGCGTAGAGTGGGAAAGCTACCAATAATGGCAGCTATTAGCTTGGAAGGCTTAAGTTTTGTAATCGAAATTAATCTTTTGATGGCTTTAAATGAATAAACAAATAGGTAAATATATACATGGATAGAAGCCGATTTTCAAACTGCAGAAAGCCATTCATTCAGAAAGACAATAAATGCTCAGTACATATTTTGATCTGATAATATTCAATGGCTGATTAATTTCGAGTTGTAACCTTGTTTTGATATGGAATACTGCTCATCATTTCATGTTCCAGACCACTTCATCTTTTCATGAAACGTTTATTTAAGCAATCGGATAGTGGTATTACTATTTATGAGTTAATAAATATTAAGATTAATTCCTACACAAGTTTGTCAGAACTTGAATGAACGTTTTTTGTATTTTCGAGAAATAATTTTCGCAAAGCTCTTTGCTAATTTGCGTGTATTTCTCTAAATATTTGTCTATGAATTATACATTATTGCACTGCAGAAGAATTTATCTTCTGTCGTATGAATTAGCATGAATAAAAAAAGCTTGGGTGTCAGAACACTTTCCAAAATTGAGTATTCGGATGAAGATCATGATATAGATATGATTCTGTACGGTAGTCTATTGTTATCAAAATGACTTATTGATGTTCAAATTGTTGAAGCATTGAAACTTTTGTTTTAATTTTCACCCTCAATTTGACTTTACACAGTTCATTCGCAGAGTTGTGAACAGATAAAAGTCGTTGTTAATTTCTATTGTGAGACATTATTTTGCTCTATTTAAAAAAGTCATTATGTTAGTTTGCGGTGCATACTATCAAAAGGTCTTGTATCATTTAAATGAAATAAAAAAAAAATGAAATAAGATCGAAAAATGGTGGAAATTTGAGCTGAAAACATTACATAGCATGTGTAAATTTAATTCTAAAGTGTAAAAGCCACTTTTTAGTCATTGTGTTCATTTTAATTGAAAAAGCATATCTGTGAAAAAAGTTAACTGATTGATTGAAACAGATGTTTATTGTGATGAGACCCTGGTATGTTTTCTGCTATCAGTTGTTGATGATAAGTTATCATGCCAGGACTTTTCAGGGACTGCACTGTTGTTAATTCTTGACAGTAGGAAGCAATATATTGAGAGGCGTCAAAAGATATTTTTGCTGTATTTTTTCAGCCAAGTCATCGAGGTCGTATTTATTTTTTAATTTCGCCAAAAAGATAGTCTCAGTTTGAAGGGAAATTAGCAAATATTATTTAATATTTGATCTATCTCATTTAATGTTGTAATGAATTTAGTGTCATGAGGAATCACTTGTTTGGTTTGTACCATTGTTTTTCATTCATTTCATCTAACATAAAAGATGAACTCAGTAGATAAGTTTCTAGCCACTTGCGTAGTTGGTTAAAAGAATTGAAAGTACCCTTGCAATGAAAAGCTTTGATTTTCTGCAGTTACATTTTCGAATGTAACTTTCGAGATACCTAGAAAGTCCGTCGAATTTTTTGGAAGTGGAAAGCATTCAATCCACTCTCTAATATTTATCATCCTTGAAATCTCAGTAATATGCACTAGTTTATATTCTACCTCTTTTCCAATCCGGAATAAAAGAAACTGCACAGAGCGAATCACATTGTATATAACTTTTCGGTTTTTCTACGTCAGACTCTTATTGATCAATAAGAGTGCCAATTTTATTCAGTTTAATTACAGTTGTATGCATATTTTAATAAGTGCAAATTGTCATTTTGAGGAACAAAGCAAGAGTCGATTGTTTCAGCAGAAGAGGCGTTTGAATTTGAATTTGCTTTTACTGATGTGGGACACTTTTGTCCGTAAGTGTTGATAAATTTGACTGTTGTTATTGTAAGGAGAAGGATGGTAATGTTCACTTATTCAAATACGCAAGCAATAAGCTTTTACAGTTATGAAATTTTATTAGACAGAAGTACTCATAATAATTTTGTGGCATTAATTTGCAAAAGCAGCTCTGACTTTCTAAGTATTGCATTGAATTATCTGTAAATATCGGAAATACTTGATCAATACCATGTTTTCCTGTGAAACTTTGGACAATTTATTTCGTTATATTAGTAAGCTTTAATTAGAAAATTAGACTAGTTCCATCTTTCTAATTAATGAACAAAGCGATGAGGATGTTTCCAGGTGTTATTTCTTTTATCAGAAAAAGACGAATACATATTTGCTAGCTCGATCACAGTATGCAATTTTTTCAATTATACTTATTTTTCGCTTCATTATTTTCTGATTTCTGTGTTTTTTGCTTTAAATTAGTTGATTGCTTTTCTGGAGAATTATTTCTTTCTATTTCATAATTATTGCTGTGTTTTTTGGCTTGTGTCAGTCATAATTCTTTTTTTAGTTACGATATGTTAGCAAATATGTATTAGCTATGATATATATGTTCTTATGTATTAAATTAAGGAAGATGGACTGACTTCTTGTCAGTGTGATTTAATCTCTTAAATGATTCTCCGAATGTGATACGAAGGAATATGGGATTAAGTTGAGATGTTTTTTTCTTTAAAAACTGATAAAAGAATTTTTTTCAAAAGGTGGTTATTATTTTAGAAAACATAAATTGTTCAGGCTTGTTTCGCTGATCTATAATTACTTCTTATTATGTTGAAATTTTGTCAAGCAGAAAATAATTCGATATTAGTATAAAAGCATTTCTTGGTATAATTATTGAACAAAATAACTTCAAGGTTGTCTAAGCTGGGATTCACGTTTGATTTGGCTCTTGTTTAGAGTTTCGTAGCTTGGAGCAATTTTCACGGCACAAAAAGTGAGTAAAGAGGAGAAGATTTAGCTTGCTTTCCCGACAAGTTCCAATTTTTCTCTTTATTTGGTAGTTTTCTCACCCCGACGGCTGAACTTTTTCAGTCCAGCGCGAAAATTTTATGCCCTCATTTCTTTCGTCATATTTTTGTTCGCCTATCATCGATTGGAGCAATTACTGCAAGTGTTATCATTTATTGTATTCATTTTATCATTACAATTCTCCATTGCAAGAACTTTCTAGTACCTGTGCAGAAAAGTAATTTCACACTTCAGTATTACTTAATTTTGTTGTACTCCCTAACTTACCCTTAATTATACTCAACTGTTCACTTTCCTTTCCATTCAAAAAATTTTTCAGTTTGAGCTAATTTCAGTATATTTTATTAGATAGATATACAGTGTGCTTGTTATACTCCACTAATTGACTTAACTGTACTCATTCACGCAATATATTCTTTTGTATTTAAAAAAATTTTCTCACTATTATCATTATATGTCCGTAACATAATGATTAATGTCCATAACAGTAATATCAAAACAATTTGATCTGTGCAGGAATACAAACACCGAAGTTTACAGTGGTCGCGACAGTATTTCTTGCTCTCTTGTCGTCTCTCGTCTCTTTTTTATTCATTTAACTTTTCTCGTCACAAATTTCTATGTTTAAAGTATACTGATTCTTCAAGTTAAGAACTGAAAATCGTGCATACAAAATGTATGCTGAGTTTTTCTCAAAATAACAAAATATACTTATTGTTAATGATTTGCTGTCTTCTGGAACACTATTTGCAGCATCAAGTAATGAGCGAGTTCTTGTGATTCTTAGTAGATTGTTTAACAAGTGGAAGTTCATTGAAATTCTAAAACACCTTTATACATACATAATCCTAGCTCCCCTATTTTACTAGCTAGATTCGAAGTACTATATGTATGTGTATTACTATGAACTGTAGACTTTTGCAAGGACTATGTATAATTCGCGTGTTTCACTTGGATTGAACAGAATTACTACAGTGGCAGAGTAGAAATATCTTCGGCATTCAATGGTTTTGTGGAGAAAAAGTTCCTGGTAGTTGCAACTAATTGTAGAGCAAATTCGTCCAAGGCCATATGTTTCTATCACACTAAGAATGACCAGAAAACCTATCATTAATTTATTCACTCTTAAGGACTGAATATTCAGGAAGTATGGGGATAAAAGCTTAAGTATTTTGCGCGAATACCTTAATGGATGACCCTGGAGAATTGGCATGCCAGATTATTACTATTGTCATTAGAATCATACTTTTACAGAATTTGATTAAAATAATTAATGGCAACAAACAATTGGTAATAATTAGAATTATAATTATTATCAATTTATCAATTGTTTGATAATAATAATCAATAATAATATTAGCTATTATTATTATTATTATTATTATTATCCATTTTTTCTATCAGCATGATAAATAGGTATAAATAATAATAAACAATTATAATACATGATAATATATATTAATAATAAATGATAATATTAATAATATAATAATAATGATAACAATAAAACTAGTAAATTAACGGATAGAAATAAATGGGAGAGGTGAGAATGTATGGCAGATGAGGTATAATACTGCATACTTTAATTTTGTTTTGATTTGAATATTCGACTTCGAGTTCCGACTTTGATAAACGAGTTTCTGCAAGCGTTTCTGTCTTTCTCTTCCCTTACTTGCTCTGCCAATTCATCGACCAATTTCATTCATCTGATTTATTTCCTTGGATATCAATTGCATTCGGATTCTTTACTTAACAAACAACTAATTCTTCGACTTGTTTTCACTTGACCTGTCCTCACATGATTCTTTTTATTTTCTCACGCCACAGTGCCTAAATCACGATTTGGGATTTAGTATCTCTCTGACTCATTTCTACTCTTTTCGATATAATTATCGATTAGTTAGTAGTCGTGAATGGGCGGTTGATACTGATTTGCTGGCTAAGTTACCTAGATACCGAGATTATTGCACAGCGTTAGCTGGTCTTCTAGGCTATCATATCCAGTGCCTCAATAAAGTCTATTCGAGATCATCTCTTGTGCTCAGTATACATAAAACTAGGTAAGTGGTATTAAATATTTCTACCTCCGAATAATTTAATCAACTTCATCCCAGAAATTTTCTCTTTTTTCTCATTAGATGTACAGTAAACGCCGAAAATTTTCCACTATTTTTGGATTTTTCATAAGATCAATATCTGAAACCAATTCTGCACCCACACATTTTTCACGTAATCAGACTAAACCTCGTGCACTACTTTGCTCTTTTTTCCTATCTTATCCAAGGTTTCATACCCTGTTACATAGCATTACTTAATGTCGTGTACATTGCAATCTATAAGAGTTAGCGGTGACTTCGATTGTGGTATTTTGAATCAAACCGGAATAGGTTTCGATAGTGTTAGGGCAGTTATGGCAGAAATGGGGAAGGTGGTAAAGTTCGCCGCATCTGAAGCAATGGTCTCGGGAAAAAGTGCTTTGTTGGTGTATAAATTTTACAGATATTGTGATAAATTGATAAGTTTGATCGATACCTCCAGAGGACGTTACAAGGTATGTCTGCTTAATAACTTATCACTTGTAAGAATTGTTTTTTGTTAAATAAAGGGAAGTACCTCTTTTTATGTTGAAAGATTTGTTACTGTTTACTATAAAACCTTACAAAACTATTAGAATATAACTTGGTTGACTTGGAGGGTTTGTTATTGGAAATAGCTGGATAAGTTGATTATAGAAGTAATCGCTTTATTGTGCACTTTTACGCTTTTGGGCTCAAAAAATATTTCTTTTTCTAGGCCCATTCCTTTTTTACAAAAATTTGCAAGTTATTAACAACCTTTTATCCACATTGTTTTGCTTATTAGTGGCTTAATTATTAATTTTCAACGTTTTTGTCATTAGTTTGTGTGAGTAAAGAAAAGTTATCAACTTCATTCAATATTTTTAGGCAAGAAAAATGTCAGCTGTTTGAGAAATTCTTAACATTCAAGCTAAATTTCTCTCTTGTTACCATTTCATGAGAACTGTGAAATAGGTAAGCATCTGTGATGATTATTTACAAATTTTCAGATGTAATCCCACTTGCTGTATGTGTGAGTTTCAAGCTATTCACATTTTGTTTTTGTTCATTTTATTATGCAGTAAATTAAGTCCCTTTTTGTTTAGAAAAATTAAGTTTGGAAGTATCGCTTCTGGAATATCTTCGACTTTTTGTTTGCTGTGAATACAAAATAAATGACATTAAGTTGCTGTTGGGTAGTTACGAGTTAACTTTCAACAAAGTCATACATCTGTCGTTGCATTTATTATTCCTTTTAATATTTTGAAAAATTTTCCTGAGACCTATTTTTTTCTTGTTGTTTTACAGAAGCTTTTGGCCGAAAAATTCTTCATTTCGTTGACAGAAAAATGATATGAGAATGAATAATCAAATTCGGCTCTCTGTTCAGTTTAGTAAACTGTACGATCTTGAAGTAAATTAATTCTTATTTGCAAATCGTCAGAAATATCCTCGAATAAGATTTAATTTACTTCCTGCTAGCTCATGATTTATTGCAAAATAAATAGAATTTTGTATACTCTCAAGTTTTATTGGCTGAAATGAAGGCGTGAGATTAATGTTGTAGACTCATTTTGTATGGTTTTTATTTCTCTTCATTGCAGCATTCTATATTCAAAAGTAAATTGCGATGAAAAAGAATTTTGAGTAAATAGTTTTGTATGTGCTTTTTTTCCCACATAAAATTATGATAGTTTGCTTATAAAAACAACGTATAATGAATGTAGTGGAAGAAAATACAATAGGAAGAGAAAGAGTAAAGTGTAGAATAATGTGAATGAGTTTGAAAATATAAGCTAACTTAGATGAGCATGAGAGTGTTGGGCAGTCATTTTAGGATAGTCTTCGTAACAGGTGGATAGAATTTGGCTAAATGACATTTGCTGTTGGTAAATTCAATCGTAGTTTTGAATGCAGTCGACGTAATTGATAATTTGAATAATGAAAGCGCAGCTTAAAATGAGTTTTTAATTTTTATTGTTCTTCCTTTCATTTTTTGGCATTTTCGTTCCTTCTGCTCTGATCTCCCACTCTATGCCTCTTATTTTGCTTGCATTTTTTGCATTGTGTGTAATAACTTGCAGCAAAAAAAGAAAAAACTGCAAATAAATTCTTTCTACAAAAGTATAGATGCAATGAACAGTTAGCTGTCTAAATTGTATGCAACGCTTTCCTACCTACTAATTCACTGCTTTTCACATTTTCATCTAGTGTAAATGTCATGACGCATTCTTGGCGAGCTTTATGCATTTTATGCATTTACATATGACGTAGTCATGACTTAGCATTTGCATTTTTAGCCTAAATTAAAGAATTTTCTAGAAATTCAAATTTCATCTATGAACAATGGAGATTATTATTTTTATGGATGAAAAGTAAGAGTAGCATAAATTAGCGTGTTTGTTCGGTTATTAAAAGGAAATAAGTATGAAATTAGTTGGGGTTTGAAAGATGTAATGAATGATTATTATTGATTATGTCGACTTAGGCTATGTTTGCTGAATTAATTTAAGGAAATCTCATTTTGGAACAGTTTTGTACTAGGATTGATATCTCAGCTGTTAGTATAGTTTGATCTGAGAAGAAAATGCCATTAAGTGTTTACAATTAAATTTTTTCTTGCTAGCAGTGATTGATTGATTTTATACCATCTTTTCATATTAAGTGTTGCTTTCTGGAACTGGACGTGTTTTGTCTTCTTTGCTCTGGCAGCTAATCTTTTTAATATGCTAATGATTGCGCAAAAATTCTATTAATAGAATACGAAAGCAGTTCCAAGCCTAAATTTGTTTCGGGAATTAAAGCTTTTTTGCTTTGTAACAATCAGCGAAGTGTATCGCTCGAAAACTATTCCAATATCGATGCATTAATCAACAACGTATTATCGTTGTCAGTTCCAATATTTTGCTCTCATCATATCATTATCTGAGATACATAATGTTACGTTATTGAGCACCAAAATTTTATTTTCATCGTAATTTGTAATTTATCAGCTGTAATGTTAATTATTACGATTGATGAATGTAGACTTTTATCGTAAGCAATTTTAACAACTTTAAAGCTTTTGTTTCATACAATTACAGTCATTAATTTCATGTATCAGTCAACGATTTAAATGTGTATTTACTTTCGTAGACTCTCCTCGATAAGAGACATTAATGAAAGTCATGATTTCGCGATACGATTCATATAACTTTTTGATTCAGCTTGAAAATGCTTTTGAAGTTTGTTCTACCATAAATTTGTAGCTAGTATTACAGTTCTCTGCAACATTTTTCTTTCTCAAAAATCAAAAAATTTTATTTCATATTTTTTTCATTTTCATTATTACAAACGTATTAAATTATAATTATAAATTGAGATTTGTACTATTATTGTATGAGAAAGTTGATGATATTCTCGCTGCGTAATGATGTAAATGGAGAATATTTTGAAAATGATTACTGAAGTGAGTACTGATGTGCAAGCAAAGATATCTCTGCTTGGTGAGTCGCAGTCAATTACAACAAAACTATAATTATTATAGTATAACATTCTCGAAACAACTGTCCTTGCAAGACGTTTTTTTATGACTAGATTCGCATGTTCTTGAGGTGCAGAAACTCGACAAGTTGAACTGTCAAGAATGTCAAGGAGACTTTCTCGTTGCCAAAAATGATTTTGGATAATTTAATTTAGTAAAGTGTCGATGAAGAAAAAATGTAATTTCATTTGAGGCATTTGTCTCAGACCTTTTTCTTCATTTCTGTTTTAGTTGAAATTATTTCTCTTTTATTGACCTTCATTTTATGCAGAGTATTGCAAGTTGGAAAATTTGATGAAATAAAATCATGACTTGGAATTGAAAAAATTTTTGCTTTGTTGGACAAAATTAGAATTGCTTGAGGTATCATTTCATTTTTTCGATTCTTGCAACATTTTCTTTTGCAAAACGTTTCATTTTCCATCTATCCTTCAGTTTATGCAAAATAGCATTGCTAACTAAAATCTACTTTACGCCTTCTAACGTTAGATAATGATTGATGAAATTCCCTAAAGCTAGATAATTTTGAACATATTTTTGAGACAATTATTTGGTTGTCATTACCTTTTGTTGTGTATTTTTCAAAATATTAATTTTAATATTTAAATCAATTTTAACTTCATCCGTTACTCTTGTCAAAAATCTTTGCCATTGCAGTTATCATTTTTCTAATTGATTAAAAGTGTATTTTTTAGTCTTACTAGTAGTTTATGAAACAAGTCTAAAGCATTTAAACAAACTCTGTAAAAACATTTGCAATGTTTTTGCTAAATTCTATTTCGGTATTTGAAGAGACTGTACAATCTGTACTAGTTTTCCATGGAGAACTAAAATTTTTTATCGAAAAAGTGAAATAAAAATGAAATCGTTTGAGGGGAAGTTAGCATATATTTCGTTTAACCGACCAAAGTTGCAGTAAACTCTCTAAATTTTTCACAAACTGATGGAAAATATTGCTGTTTGCAAAAAATTATCATTCTGACTAATTGCTTTGTTTCTGGGTCTGATTTGTTCGAAATTTTGTTGCAGATGTATCTCATAACAACTTTGCTGCCTGCTCAAATTGATCAGCCACTTATTAATCGAATTCTGCCAAAAGAACTTATCCTTAGGTGAAACTTTCATCTGGTATGAAAAATTGCATTAACATTGTTTAAATTGCATTAACATTGTTTACGCTTTAATGCAAAATTATCTGTGTAATGTTTTCAAATTCAGTTATTCATTAGTCTTTATTATTTATTGTAATCCATTTTTAATGCCAATTCCAGGATTTTTTCATTTTTGGATATTCCGGCTTTGTGCCGTTGTGCCCAAACATGTCGGCATTGGAATCTTTTGGCGCTTGATGGCAGTAACTGGCAGCAAGTTGATCTCTTTCAGTTTCAAAAAGATATTAAAGTAAGCTGTTAAAAATTTTTAATTGCATCAGGAATTGTAGTTAAATTTTCAATTACTGGCATTTCTTCCAAGATTTTATTGTCATCGATTACTTTGCTTCAGTGTCGTAATGATTATTGGCATGATCTGTATGATGTTTTGGAAAATATCTATCATGGTAATCATATTGTCCTGTATTTAATTCAAAGTTAAATTTCTAAACCTGTCATAGAAAAGAAGTGCAAGAGGTTATTGCATTCCAGTTGGTAATAAAAACTTGATTTCACAAATGCATAAATGTTACGAGACATCTGCACAATCGTCATTACTTAATTTAATGTTACAGAAAATAATCGTCTGATTGCTATATGACATCTGCTGAATGACCTCTGCTACTTCAATTTAACCTTAATTCTCTTTATCAGAACTACAATTTCGTAAATTTGAAATGTATGCCTTAAAATTTGCATAAATCATTTAAATTAATTTGATATGTACTAAAATCTTTTTCTGCTTGAAATAGATCTGCACAAGACTTAGTTTTTTCTCTGCTGTTAGAATTCAATATCATGTCAGAAAATATGCATTTAAAGAGCAAATAATTAAATGAAACTGAGTTAACTAAGTTGATTATGAATATCATTATAACAGAGATCATATAAAGGAATTTAATAATATTTAAATGATAAATTAATCTAGTGGTTTTCGTATCTTCAAAAGCTCTTATTTTTTTTCTAAAAATAGGCCGTTGGATTTGCTCTCAAAAAATCTAGATGCTAGAAAGGAATTGAGAAAGTTTCACTTTTCTTGAAGCGAATTACCTAAAGATTTTTTTAACCTTACGTTAAAAAAATCTTACGAAAACCTTACGTTAAAAATCATGCTAGTAATTTTTTTACCGAATAGCAGAGCGCAAAGAGAAAGTGAAAATTGTAAACCAGTTTTTCTGTAGAAATACTCTGCAGTCAGAAAATACGTTTCATAACAAGTATTTAACCGAATAATTATTTTCTACTTATACTGAGTAACATTTCAGACTCCAGTAATAGAAAACTTGGCTAGACGATGTGGTGGTTTCCTGAAGAAGTTAAGCTTACGTGGATGTGAAAATGTGCAAGAAAATGCACTTCGTTCATTCACATTAAAATGCCCAAATATCGAACATCTTTCCTTGTATAAATGTAAACGAGTCACCGATTCGTTAGTTTTTATTTTCCCATACTGCCAAATTAACTTAATTTCGTCTTCTAGTATAATCGTGATATAACATTTTTTTGCAATGCGTTGCCAGATGGTCCACTGTCTTCACACGATCCCTACAATGTTGCCACATACCTTTCTCAGCTCCAAACATATTTCTATTTTGGAGATGACAGTATCGTGCTTCATCTTGTAGGGTACTGTTTCCAAATCTAACAGCATTGATGAATCTGACATAGAAATTAGCTCATTTTTGCGCATCTTATGTAGTTTTGCATGACAAATTTTATTTTCTGTTTTGCTACACAAAAGCGCCTTTTAAGCTGCTAATACCTTTTTGACGGTTCGATTTCTTACGAAGTTGTATATAGTCTGAAGGTAGGGCACAATAATTGCCAAGTACATGTTGTGAGTCTTTTCCTGTTCCTAGTAGATATGAGCGCAGTTTCTACTAACCATGTCTTAGCTCCTCCCTTGGCAAATACAGTCTTTCCAAACAAGCAGGTTGGATGTGAATTCCGTATTTAATTAGTAACTGTCTGATATCATGTTCAGTTGCTCGGAAGTCCTCTGAGTCTTCTGGTTCCAGTTTGAGCACCCCAGTACAGTAATTTATTAGTCCTATGGCGTGCTCATTTACTGCTTTCATGCCGTTTGGTGCAGTTTCTTTCATGATATCCTCGTCCGTAACAAAAGCCTGAAATTATCCGTAAATAATAAATGGATTCCTTGATAATAAATGATTTCCTTGAATAATTACATGTATTCTTGATCGGTGGGAAGCTCCACCTTTGAGTATATGATATTGAGCCTACGACTCAACGGATTCATGCATAAAACGAACAACAGCGAAGTCACCTTGGAAATTCCCCGCTGTATTTTTTTCTCTGTTGTGGTTGCTCCATTGTTTTTCAATGTAACTGACCATTTGAAGGTGATGCTTCTCAGAAACCTGCCAGCCACGTTGGCGTGTTGAGTCTTTCAATACACTTAATCAGGTAGTGGTGACTAATTGAATCGGACGCTCAGTTAAGTTAAGCACCAATCAGTCAAGCACCACGTGGTATGACGGTAAGAAACATCGTGGTGCTTAACTGATTTCCATACTCTTTGCATACCGCGAGATTCAAGAGTACCTGCTCTTTCGCATTTTGAACTTGGACACCTTATGGAATCAGGTAGATAGATCTTTTGTAAAATCACAAGTCCTGATCCTTTCCATCCGGGCCAATTCTTCTTACTATTTGGTAAAAGTCTGTATGCTAGGAGGTATACTTCTTTATTAAGCAGTTAAAGATTCCATCAAGACCCGCCGCCTTCCAGCTTGGCAAATTGGAAACTGTCTCACCAAATTCGACATTAGATGGGAAAATGTCATACACTTGTGGCTAACAGGCTGGTCTTCATTTAGTTTCTTATAAAACTATTTTCTGAACAGCTGAATTCTGGCATTTTGAATTTTGAATGCACATCGATTAGCCTAACTTCTAATTTTACTTTCGTAAAGTCTCACACTGTCTGTCAGTATGCTTAAACGCTTCATGATAGTCACGCTTAAGAGCAAGTATGAGATTGATCTCCCTCATATACTTCTTGGCCTTCCTCAGGTTTTCACCTTCAAGTGTTTCACCGGTTAAATACCGCTCTATAGGCGTTTCGTCGAAGTAATTGGCAGTTATCTTTTTTCCATGCTTGCCTTCCATCTCGATGGCTTCTTTTTGCCTTGTCATATTTTCATAGCATTGTTGTGCCACCTGGAATTGCATTGCAAGATCAGTCATTGACTTGGGGGTACTCTGTGTGGCATATTCATCGGCCGCTTGGTTTACCACTCCAAGTACAAGCGAGTCGACTTTCTTCGAGATTGTTTACCGCGTCCAATTCGTATTCAAAGTCATGTATATATTCTTGATCTTTTCATATTTAAGTACTCATTAGGTGTTTGCATGTTTTTTTTACTTATATAGGGCGTTATTTTCATATTTTTAAGTATTTAGTTGAGTTTTAAAAGTTTTAAAGAATTTAATGAAGGGCTTTTCGCATATGATCGCTTTGTAACATTGGAGTGGAACATGAAGATTTGGTATTGATTTAATTATATCCATTTTGAGTTGGTGCACTACTTTGAAATTCGTAGATTAAAAAGGGGTAAAATTCTGATTTTAAGGAATTTTAATGTGGTGAGAGTAGAGAAAAGTTTTGAGTTCTATTTCAGGACTTGTGAATATTTAGGACGAAATTGTCATCGACTAGTATGGCTTGATTTGGAAAATTGTATTGCAATAACTGATAAATCTCTTGATGCAATAAGGTAAAAGTTACTTTTTTTCAATAATTACAAATTTGATTGAATGAGATGGAGAGTTGAGTTATCGAAATGTTTGGATTCAGATTTCAGATATAATGATGTTTAGTTGATGAATTTTATTTTTTAATCAAAGAATGACATTTCAAAGCTAAGTACTAAAAACTTATGAAGTTCATTTTGATTTAGTAGAGATAAAAAAGTATTCAAATGTACAGTCTCTTCTTACTTTTAAAAATTCATCTAAACTATTTTTTTCTAGCCAGGGCTGTAAAAATTTGGAATATCTGAACATTAGCTGGTGTGAAAATATACAAGATCAAGGTGTTCAAACAATTCTGCAAGGTTGTGCTAAGCTCAACACGTTAATTTGTCGTGGATGTGAAGGAGTGAGGATTATTCAGAAATTTTACATATTGACTTGAAATATTTTCTAAGATTTACTGGCTCAAAAAATTTACCATAAAGTAAAGATGTTATCGAAGAATAGAATAAAATAACCATTGCATTTTTTACAACTGTTGAAATGATTTTGATATAATAGAGTTTTGGGTGAAAAAAATCTCAAAATTAAGGTTGCAGAAACTTGAAATTTTTCTTGACTAGGATTCAAATCTTTTACCTATTTCAAAATCTCAGGGAAACACACAAATTAAAAAAAGTTGAGCTACTGTTGGAAATAATCACATTTTATTAGCAAAAGATTTGAAGGAGTTGAAAAGTGATAATCTTTTGTTAGAAAGAAAAGGATATTCGGAATAAGGAAATTGCCCGTGCTATATGTGGTTTCAAGTCTTTAGTTTTTTCGAATAAGCAGTTTTTATTTCAAATTTAATTTTTTTCAGTTTTGATTTTAAATTTAAAACTTGAATTCTGTGTCAGTTTAATGTGTCTCACGAAAATACTTTGTAAACCAATCATAAAGAGTTGTAGCAAAAGCAATCTTTTTGTAGATATAATTGAAGTTGGATTTCGGGAACATGAATAAAATGTTATATAAATAATTTTATTTCGCGTTTTCTACCGAAGTAACTTTTTGAATTTAACAGTTAACGGAAAGTGTTTTCACGGAAATGCGTAGTTTTTGTGCGGGATTACGGACGCTTAATTTGCTTGGTTGTTTTGTTACCGATGAAACGGTAGCTGATCTTGCAGCTGGCTGTGCACAATTAGAATACCTTTGCTTGTCTTCTTGTAGCCAGATAACGGACCAAGCTTTGATTTCTTTGGCTAATGGATGCCACAGATTAAAGTAATTCAGATCATGTTTTTTCATAAGGAGATGCCTGTTTTTGTTTTAAAGCAATTGTTAGGAAATAATGATGAATAAACTTTTTGCATTAAATTCCTTTTAAATCGTAAATTAATTTTTGTTCTTTAATTTTCTGCTCAGAATCAGTGCTTGATCATGATTTAAAGCTAAGTGCAAGAAGGAGATTACAAAAAACTTGTTGCTTGTTTCTAATTTGGCTTAAAACACTTTCTGAAATTTGCAGCTTAAAAAATTTTACTAACTTTAAGCTAATATCGAAAAATAAAATATAATGACCACTGCAGTTATTTGCAATTGTTGAAGTAACTTTGATTTGGTAGCTTATGAAAATTCTGATTGATGACCAGAAATTTATAACTTCAATAGCTAAAAGTGCGAATCGATCACTGCGTTATGAAAATATTTTCAGAGATCTCGAACTTGCGGGTTGTTCACTACTAACTGATCAAGGCTTCGGCATTTTAGCCAAGAATTGTCATGAACTTGAAAGGATGGATCTAGAAGATTGTTCTTTACTGACTGACAATACGCTAGACAATTTCAGCAAGGGATGTCCATGTCTTCTTAATTTGGTAAACACTTTCTCATTCCTTTTATTATTTATATAGGAAGTACTTTTGATTAAAAGAATGCTTCTAATCATATTTTAACTTAATTCTAAAGTAAATATCATACTTTATTTGTAATTTAAGTTTACTCACTATTCTATAACTATCATTTTATTACACTAAATATTACTTGCTTTACAGTAAACTGATACTTATACAGATAATTGCAGTATAACAAAAATCTAGTTAAACATTTTTAATACCCTATTACTATTATTGTAATTACGGCGTATTTCTGTTGTAAAATGGCTCTACCAATTTTTGAACTGTTGTAAAATGGCTCTACCTGTTGTAAAATGGCTCTACCAATTTTTGAGTAACTTTTATATTTTTAAGTAATGTGTTAAGATTATTTTATTTCTAAGAAATAGTAAAAAAATACTTAATAATAATTGCTTAAAGCTATGAAAACATGATTTTAACTGAAGAAGCGTCATCAACTTTTGATTCTATTTTGAGCAGATAAAAATGAAACGATTGGAATGTCAACTGAAGTCATAGACTTCTTTTATTCAATTGCAGTAGTTTAAAGATTTTTCACACTTTCCTTCTATTTGTTTCCACCAAATTTGAAAAAATTAGCACGTCAGTTTGTATTTTATAGAGTCTTTCACACTGCGAACTCATTACTGATGGTGGTTTAAGGCAACTTTGTTTGAATCACCATTTGAAAGAGCGAATTCAAGTTCTGGAATTGGATAACTGCCCTCAGATAACCGACATCAGTCTCGATTATATGAGACAAGTGCGCAGCTTGCAGCGAGTTGATTTGTATGACTGTCAAAATATTACCAAAGATGCTATCAAGCGTTTTAAGGTAATGATTTTTGTACTTTCTTCGGAAATTTTACGAATATCTGTTCATAATTTTGAACTAAAAGTTCAAATGGTAACTCAGTGCATTGTTAAGTAAGTGATCACATGCTGTGGTATGAAAATATGTGTTGTAAAAACAATTTTCACCAAAAAAACTGTTTTTGGTATCAGCTTTTCCTATTTAATGCGTTTGAATGACCGAAAAATTATTTCAGGATATCTGAATTCATTGTTTAAATTGCTTATATGAAATGTCCTGCAATATTTTCTGTCTGATATTCTCACAAATTTTTCAAATCCAAAAATTTCCATTTTCTTTTATCTGTTATTATGTGATAAACATTGTCGTGATAAATGTTCTGTTAAGACAGTCCAATCTTGTCATACTTTTTAAAACTTTTTAATGATAAATTGGATTAGTGCTTCAGAAAAAGTAATCAAGAGTTTTAATAAAAAAATTTTTGTTCGCTTGAACTCCTTCATTGGTTTGAGTTATTTTTGCTAGTTTTTATTTCTTTGAGAAAAACAGTAAATTATGAAATAGTATTCCTTTTTAGAATCTAAATCCTGACGTTGAAGTTCACGCTTACTTTGCACCTACAACCCCACCTGCATCAAGACAGCCAAGTCGAAATGCTGTATGCCGTTGTTGTACAATCTTGTAATTCAGTTAAATCAGTTATTAGATAAATATAAATTGACACTCATGTAAATCGATATATGTATATACATGTACATATATCGATTTTCTTGATTTAATACATTTATTGCTTAAGTGAGTTTGATCGCGGTAGAATGTAGATTTTTTTAAACATTGTTTTCAAATCATTTTCCTGTTCAGTCATGTAAATTGCTTTGCTGAAGTGTTTTTTTAATCTCTGAGAAAATAATTAGTCTGCCAAAAACTTGTCTAGTTCATGTTTAAAAATAGTGTCAGTCAAAATTGCTTGCCAAGTTTAATGAATCTACTTTTATTAGCATGTGAGCTGTAGTAATCATGATTACATGATATGTTTCTTTATCTCTAATGCATTCCAAAAAAAAATAGCGACGCAATCAGGAAAATTTTCAATGCTTTTTTTAATGTATTACACTTTTCTAAAAAATTTTTGGTAGTATTCTCACCGTTATCAAAATTCATAGCTAAATTGCATATTTTTGCATAAACTACAGATAATTTGATTTCGAACGGTTCTGCCGTTCTGCATAAAAACTGGCGTTGATGAAGATCGCATTTTTGCATCGGCTTTTTTCCTGTGAGTGGTTAATCATTTGTATTTGACTTTATGGTTTTTGGTTTTGTTTTCAGATTTATCGATATTTTGACTAACCCCAGTAAATATGTTCCCTTCAGTTCATTTCATATTTCGCCGTCTCATTAAATACGAGTTTGTTTTGACTATATTTTTTTATCCATCTCAGCAGTGTCGTTTGTCATCGATATTTCATTTTTTTTATTTAGATGCTTTTTGGGTATTACAAAGAATCTTCGTGCTTTTCTGTAGATTGCCTTTTCATCAAAATACCCTTCATTCATTCGTTGCATTGTATGTAGCTGACAGCAGTTAGCTTCTCATTAGTTACTCTGACGCACTTGGTTGGTTCAGAAAAATTAGCGTATTTTATTCGGTCTTAGACAGGAATTATATCAGCTTTCTATTCTTAATAGATTAAACATGTCCAAGTTATACAAGTATTTGTAGAGTCTAACGTAAAGTTTTCTCTTGTTGAGCATTCATATTAGACACTTTAGTTTGCTATGTACAAATTCATGGTTTTTGCGTGTTATTTAGTACAGTTAAGCATGTGTTATTTGCTTTTGTTCTTTCGTTTGTAAAATCATACCAAATCTATCTTTCATTCCAGCTACCGTTACCTTTATTTGTCGATATTATTCATGTGAAATTTTGTGACATTATCCATTGATACTTGGCAAAGCCCTCAACAAGGATTTATTAATATGAATTATTGTCGCTTTCTCTAATGTAAATATCCTTTTATTTGTAATACCTTTAATACTTTATTTTTTACAGATCATTATTATGAGTGGTTGATGAGCTAACTTTTTCATTAAATAATTAATCGCGAATTCATTTGGTTTTTTCTTTACTTCCAAGAACTACTTTTTAGTAATTATTGCTTGTTTTGTAATGCGAATATATTCTTATTTATTTTTCTGTGCGCTATTGGAAGGAATTCAGGGCATAAATACCTTGGAATAGTGGAAGACAGGACTAGCGCACCTACCCGTGAAAGCTATGATAAAGTTTGAGCATAGATTTTAGTGATAATTGAGCGATTAGCTAAAACTGCACTAAATGGCAAGAACTTTACCAAGGCAGTGAATGAGCACGTCATAGGTTTGACAAATTATTACATCAAGGTGCTTAAGCTGAAGCCAGAATACTTCAAGGCTATAGACCACGATATCAGGCAGTTACTAATCAAATATGGAATTTACAAGCAACCTGCATGTTTGGAAAGACTGCACCTGCCAAGGGACAAGTTAGGATGTGGACTTCATAATGTTAAGCAGAAGAGCGAGCTTATGCTTCTCCAACTACATAATTTTCTTGTAGATACCGCACCAATTTGTATCAGAAGAAATATGGGCAACGATTCTGAAGCAGGAGAAAGCTCATAACATGTACTTTGCAATTATTGTACTCTATCTAAAGACTAAGCACAACCTCGCAGAAAATCCTACCGTTGGAAACGGATTAACAACCCAGAAGGCATTCTTGTATAGCGAAATAGAAAAGAAAACCCACCGTACAAAGCTAAACAAGATGCGGACGAATAAAATCTCGTCCATCTTTGATTCATCTAAGTGCCTACGATACGGACACATTACCCCGCAAGATGAGGCATGGCACGATACTGTTATCTACAAGATAGAAATATGTTTGGAGCTGGAAAGCCAACATTGTAGGAACGAAGTGCTGGAATGCGATCCAGCGCCAGAACCAATAAAGCAAAAATCAAAATTAACCACATTATATGATTTTTCCAGATATTCGGTGTGCCGGATATTGTCATCATCCCTCATTTTCGAATTCCATATCGTCATCCAGAATTCTGATTTCTTCTGTCCTTACTTGTGGCTAACAAGTGATTTCTATAGAACCGTCTTCTGAAAAGCTCGAATTTGGCGTTCTTGATTTTGAATGCATATCGGGTATCATAACTTCTAAACTTTTATACTGTCAATATGCCTAACACTTCATGACAATCACGCTTCAGAGCAAGTATAAGATTGATTGATCCCCCTCATACACTTTCTTTGCCTCTTTTAAAATCTCATCTCCAAGTTTTTCATTGGCCAAAGTCCGTTCTATTTTGTGTAAATCTTACCTTCCTTTCTGTGCCTGCCTCCACCCCAATAGTTTCTTCTCTAGCCTTGTCATGTCTTCACTGTTGTGCCATCTGCAGCTGCCTTGCAATATCAGTCGTTGACTTGGAGGAGTGGGGTCGAAGGTGAAGGGGAGAAAGGGGGCAATAGCATACCGGTGATCATTGAATCGCTTGCTTCTTCATTTCTTCAAGGGTAATAGCACACGAAAACTTCTCGCTATACAAAGAAACGACACAATGTCATCTCCCTCTTGGCATTCTTCCGAATCGGTCAAGGGCCGCTTTCAGCACCTCTCCTGGCTACTTGGTTCGTGCGGTTTCAATTCCACGGACGAGGGCTTCAAGAGTGATCATTTTGTCCGGTACAAGCTGTATGTTCTCTCACACCTTTCACATAGCTGCAGATGGCACAACAGTGAAGATTTGTTTTTCCATTGTTTTCGTATATGATTCCAAATGCAGACTTTTTCTTTTTACCTCCATTTTATATTTCTTGAACCAGCCGCTCCAAGTGAACCACTCAATATACTGAAGTTTTTTATTGAGCGAATGCATTATTGGAAATAGTTGAAACCGTTATTGTTTCGGGACAGATTTGTGTAGTTCATGTTTCAACTGAAGTTTAGAAATTTACAGTTTATAGTCATATTTTAATTAAAAGTAATAGTCATTTTGAGATATTTGAAAATTAGCTGAATTTATTACAATTTAATGCAGTCAGCAACGTTGCATACCATATGTGAAGAAGGGCTTAACATTTGTTGTGATTGCTTTGGTTTAGACAGAAAGTTTGCAAGCTAAACAACTCAGTTCTCAACAGAAATAATGTTCGTAGTCTCGAAGAAACTATCATTTATTTGTTGGATACTACAATTAAATCTCAGAAAATATATGAAACAATATGAGGGTGCAAGAGAGTTACGTAGCTTATTATTACATTCTAAAATAAATGTAGTGAATGCTTCATGCAAAAATTCTACAAAATTTGACATTTATTGTTATCATGTCGACAAATAAACAAATGTGGTAATGAGTGCACCGACCAATTCTTAACCCAAACAGCAAAGAGAAAGGTATTGCTCATTTACACGTGACTAAATAAGCACCTTCAATATTAATATTTGCGTAAAAGCAGTTTTGTGAAGTACCAATTCAAAAACATTTTCAAAAAATACTTTGCATACTTATAAAAAAAAGTATGCAGGTACTAAATGCGGAAACAACTGTATTTACAATTTGACAAGAACATTATGAGAAAGTGTGTTATGCGAATATATAAATATTAAAACAAGGCAGTTCAAAAAATTTCAAGAAAAATGAGTCATTTTTTGTTAATGAATGATAGCAATGATAATGCTAAATTTTGAGACCAGCAATTCGAATTTTTTGTGAATGATGGAAGTTGTGAATAAAATTAAGGCATATTTAGCGTTGCACCCATATCTTGTAATATGAATTAAAAGCAGTGAGAATGAGAGTTCTACAGTGAGAAAGGATAAAGTAAGGGAATCAATCCTTGCTTAATAACTCAAAAATTTCAGGTTCTTTGCAAATGCCAACAAAAGAAATATTAGTGTTGAACGTTGTCAATCAGAAGCTGAGGTAGTTTTTGAAGATGACGTAGAAGCTTCGAAGAACTTTTCTTTTTTGAAGCCTTTCCTACTTGCTCTCGAGATTCCTGCCTGTTCTTCTAGTGTGGTAATACGACGAAATGCTTTCTTTAACGCTTCCTTCAAAGCATCATTCTCCTCTTCACATGTGATAATTCTTCTCTCCAAAATGGCTATGATAATGAAATACAAATCTACTGTATTCAATTCACCAAGTGATATTGCTTTTACTGGTTTCGTCTTCTCTGGATTTTCTATATTGTTTATGAGACGCTGCAACTGGGAGTTACCGTCTTTAGAAACCTATAAAGTACTTTATCAAATTCTATAAGTGTCCGACGTTTCTTACGATTAAAATATGCAAACATTGTTTTTCTACAAGCTCAAGTTTTGTCCCACTTTAAATTTTCAAGGAAAGAAACTTGAATTGAGCTTACATTTTAGCTACAAAGGCAGCCAGCTCCCAAATTATATGTTTAACATTTAATTTGAAAGCAAAGAACAGAGTAATTTGTCAGTTCATGCAAATTTCGACTTTATCTTGTTTAAAAACTCACTTGACTCGATAACTTCTCCAGCATTGCTTTGATGTTTTGCATGTAGTCGATTTCGGATCCAGACGAAGTAGATGAGGTGAACGAATCATGACAATTTCCCTTCGAGATAAACGCAACTTGATGTAGAGGCATTATTCTTAATCGCTCATTATGTGATTAATCATTCGTAATCAATAATAATCTGTTAATAACGATGGTGGTTGGTTAATAATTGTGCTTATGAAATAAAATATAGCCAAAAAGCGAAGTCAAAAAGCAGAGAAATTCTCAAGGTTTATTCAAATTTTCTGATTGGAAATTTAAATAAATTGATTGATTTAACAAGAATGAAAGAAACAAATAGGATAGATAGCATTTGAAGTAAAACACCGCAAGCAAATGTTTGCCCTCTTGCTGAAGTAAATAAGTACTCATTTTCTCTCCAAGCAAGAAAATAAAAGGACAAAGTTAGGAGGAAGCAGGGAAAGCTGAAGAGATAGTAGATTTGCAAGCAATGAACGAACAGCTGGGAGAAACGAAGAAAGTGATAGCTGCATGCAACAGTTACTCACATTTTTAACTAAAATACGCAAGATTGGTAGCTAGTCAGCACGGATTTTTGGGCATTATTATGAATTTGCACACTAAAGTTTACAAACCTATAACCATAAAGGTATTATTTATAGTCGACATGGTAGTCAGTTCCGGTTATTAAATAGGAGTGACACTATGATACTACCTATTATTAGGTGAATTATAAAAATGATTGAATTGATTATTAAATGATTTCTGATGATAGTCAATTCGGTAACAACAGAGATTACATTTAAGATGATTTTATATCGATGCAAATACATAGTAGCAATCTGAAGTCAGAGTGATTGTAATTAATTTATGTCTGCATATTATCTTACTGTCACTCCTATTTAATTACTGGAATTGACTACCATATCAAATGAATGTAGTCGCTGATCAAAATTTTTAAGAACTGAATACAGTTAGCAATTCATATTTATAGTGAGTAAAAATTTTGCTAAAATTCATTTGCGGTTGCAAGTGCTGATTCGAAAATTACTTTTTTTCTTTCAAAAGAAAAGTTTTTGGTATAAATTAAATAGCAACCATTCAGGCTAATCGTGCTATTTTTAAGAATTTAATCATCTCCATCTTTATTTCAGCATCTCATTCGATCAGCGCTGTGGATTTGACGAGGACGAAGCAGCGGAGACCAGCACAGCAGAACTGAGCGCGGGACGAGTGCAGCGAGAATGCCAGAACACAATCCAGTGCCAGAATCAATTATGAAAAAAAGAAGAATAACCTCCGCTGTTTAAATTAATTAATTATATTACTGAAAATTTTTAAAATAAAAACCATTTTGCTTATTGATGAGGAATTTCCAAGTAAGACTTGCTTAATTAAAATAGTTTGATTCATATTGTGACTAAGAATCACAAATCATTTTTGCTTAGAAATTCCAGACATTTCAATATTTGTTGAAATGGTCTGTTTCTAATTCTGAAAAACTAAATAGTGAATTATTTACTCCATTTCGATTACAAATAGTTTTAAATAAATGTAGCGCCTGATATTGAGAGTTTAGAGAAAATAAATTAAATTTACGGGTAATATTGCAAACAGAAAAGTTTCTTTGAAAATTTTTTTCTTTGAACATTATTTGCGGAAGCCAATAAAGTTTCTCATCTTCAACACTGATCTTTAGCATGTAAAGTCGCATGATAAAATATTTTATTGTGAATTGATTCGTAATACATCAATAACCACTAATGTTTCCACAAAACTCGTCAAAATACAGAACAATAATTAGTGACGTTATCTATTCCTGAAAATTAGTTACTACTAAAAATAAGATCTCGTTATTAATATTTCGATGGCATAGATGATTGAAATACAATTTAGAATGAAATCAGGGTATTCTGTACTGAATAACATTCACATTCATTTTAGATTTTTGTTGCATTATACAAGCTAAATAGCAAGGCGGCATTTGATGTGATAAATTTGAATTTCAAGAATTAATTTTCGCACGAATTTCTCGATTTTCATTTTAATTTCTTTCATTTCTTTAATTTTTGCAATTTTTTGCTGAGAAGTTTGATATGTGTGTATGTATAAAATGTATAAAAGGCAACCAAAACTTTGGGATTTCAGTACAAAACTCACACTTTTAATATCGCACAAGACTATAATCAGTTGATAAAATTAGAAAGAATAAAGTTTTGGTATACAAAGTCGCATGATGAAATATTTTATTGTGAATTGATTCGTAATACATCAATAAGCACTAATGTATGTTTCCACAAAACTCGTCAAAATACAGAACAATAATTAGTGACGTTATCTATTCCTCATTATATTCATTTTGCTGGGAAATTCGTCAGTTCTGCATATTACGTCTTGTGAATAAAATACCTCCAAAAAGACAGCATAAGCAACAAAGAACGAGCGAAATAATCGTTACCATCAAAAGTATTCTGCAATTATAAACTTAGCAATTTTTTTGGCTACTAAAAATTCAAAAAAAGAAGCCAATATAAAGATAAAAAAGCAAATTAGCATGAGGGATATTGAAACTTACATGAACCAAAGTTCGAATTTAATACAACATTCCATATATGTCTCATTGCAACATATGTACGAATAGAAGACGTTGTCAGGTGGACATCTACAAGAGCTAACTATAAATGTGATTAAGTTTCAGTTGTTTTAATCAGGATTTAAAAACCTTAAATGACTGATTTTTGCAAAGTTGCAAAAGCAGCTATTTCTTACTTACATTTGACCTATTTGACTATTGTAAGTTAGTCCGTAAAAAACATTGTCAAACTCGGCACTTAGAAAACTTGCGGGGCAGATCATAGATAAAATGCTTGGCGTAAGCATTGATTTTACCAGAATTATGGTTGTTGCATGGTGAAGTGAAAGCCAAGCCATTTATTTCATTCTAAAACCGTTTGATGCATTACTACATATATCTTCAAAATTACTTTGTCATTATATATATAAATTTATATGAAATAGCAAACTATTTTGTCTTCATATTGTTACAACTAAAAAAAGTTTAAGACAAAACTGTCAAGACAAAATGTCAGACACTTTTGTTCATACCACTCAATGTCAGCTACCATATCCTGAAAAGTTCACAAATACTTTTCAATAAATCTAATATTTAGAAATCAAGTCTGTGAGATTTTTGATACCAATCAGATGATAAACCTTTTCTTCATGTGTAATCAGCCATTGAATGGAATCCAACCCGTTTACGTACCTACACAAAGCTTGAAATATTACTCGAAAATGTAGAATTGTCACTATTTCTTAGAAACAACTTGGAGTAATAGGTGTGCTCGTGCTGCATCGAGTGCTATTATCTGCTGTTGGCTCGCTCTGAAAGTAAACAAAGTTTCTTCGTAAAAGGACGCAGCTATAACAAATATTCATTTATATTTCTAAAGTATACTTTTGTATTTACAAACACAACTATTGCAAGCAATACCTCAAACATCAAATGTGAATAATTGCCTAATAGAAGATGGTACCGCATCCTTCCTGATGTGCATGGCAGATCAGTTAAGCTTCAGCTTTTAAATCATGAGACAATGAGTCTTTTAAACAATTGAATTTCGCAGTGAAAATGATTTTGGAAATTACTGAAAATAAACGAATATGGATGCAGATTTTGGAGAATCAGCCACATCCCAATAGCTTTTGCTACTCTACAGCTTATTCCATCCATGTATGTTAGATTAGTATCGAAATCCTCATCAAAGTTCGCTAACTTCAAAAATATAAGCTGTGACAGCCAATGTTTGATATCTTTTCAAATGATTTTGAAGACTCATAAGTAAATTACATTACTACATTCCCTGTCTGTTGCATCAGAATTAATGTATTGCATGTCTTTTGCTTGTTACTATTTTCATCTTATTCAAAGAGTCATTACTATAGAAAATGGGCAAATAAATCCATGTAACCTGCAATCAATCAAGACTTTATCAAAATCGAAGACACTGTTGAAAACAAGTTTTATAATCAGAAAGAAAAAGAAATGACTTTAATACGAGTAATGATAGAAACCTATGAATTGGGGCAAAACAATAGATATAACTTGCCAATGCCAGCAATACGGATGAGGAACAAGAATAATTACCCATATAAATAAATTAAATGGTCAAAAATCAAAAAGTGACATCACCTGAGCAATAACAGAATTATAAGTTTCAAAACTCAAGAAATAATAAGTAAATATCAATGACTGACATAAGCTGTTGTCAACTATCTACAGATTCAAGTCAGGTAGAAAGTTTAAAAGAATGGATTTTGAAACGTTTTATTCAAGAAGCAAAATTTTTGCATCTTAATACGCTATAAAGCGACTGCATATACAACTTTAAAAAGAATTTTATTATTACGAAACACAACATCCGATACCATCTAGTCTCGATACGCCGCGATGAGGATGTTTTCTGAAGATCACAAATAAACGAATATCAAATTTCTGGATCTTTATGTTGCTTTTTTAAATCACTAAAAAGAATCTCCTAAATTTTTAGGTTCCACAACAACAAATCTTTGAATATAAATAGAAAGGTTCTGATGAGCAATGTTTCAGTATTCTACATTTTGTTTCAAGAGCTAAGAAAATTATAAAAATTCATTTATTTCATAACTTCTAATTTTTTGAATAAAATAAGACTCACTCATACTCAATTCTTTGCAATTGTTCCGCAACCGCTCTATCATATTCTTCAGCGGTTTTGTTGCCACATGTAACAAGAGACTCTTGTATAGCACGAGCTAATGCTTCTTCTTCTGACTAAAATTACATGTGATCACTTTCAGTTTGGAAAAATATTTAATAAAAGAAAAGATTAATGAAATATAATCTAAAAAATGTAACAAACCAATGCATTTACTTTTTCCTGGGAGATGCAATTTGCCTTTTCCAAAGTTGACTGATTTTGATCAATACGGTCTAATGCAGCTAATCTGTAATATAAATAGACCAAGTTCATCATACATGTGAACTGTAAGATTAAAATCTTTTCCAAAAGCTGAAAAAAATGTAATCGAAACAAAATCGCTTCCAAAATAGACATTGAAATTTACGGTGCACTTGATACTGCTTGTTTTCTTCCCACTCTGATACAATCATGATCAGCTGGAAATCGATGCTTTAAACAGAAATTTTGACCGCATTCATCACATTTTATAGGTATAAGCTGAAGAAGAATTGTCTATTTTACCCATGAAAGAAACGTAAAGCATATTATTTCTGTAACTCTACTTGAGTTTTAAAGATCGTCAACTAATTTAAATCAAAATTTCATTTTTTCCTCAATACCTCCCTCTTTTTGCAGTACACTTGTGAACATCGATTCGTATAAATCCTTCCTTTCATTGCTGACGCAGGATTAGATTTACAATTAGAATCAATGTGATTGCCTACTTTTGCATCTGGACGTTCATTTCGTGCTACTGGAATCGGTACACCACACAATGGACATACAGGTACTTGTATATTCTATAAATTAATTTTACTGCAAAAAAAGTTGATATGAAAGTACAACCTATTTACAAGTAAAAAACTTATGGCGACACAAAGATGGAAAATTAAAGAGTAAAGTTCAATGATAACAAGTTTCATATAGTTCGCAAAATCACTTTTTTATAAGCTGAAATACAATTATGTGCATCATAAGCGTAATGCGATGCACAGAAATCCCTTTGGCAGGCATCGCAACGAACAGGAAGAAAATCTGAAATTATTAGATATTATTTTTTTTAGTTCAGCAAATATCATTTATGCACTATTGTGAGCCAAAATAAGTACAGAAACATTTTAGCAAATACTAAATATATAATAAATAAATGTTGAACAATTTCTAAATTTCAATCTTCCCTGATTGATATACTGTAATATTTTGTCATAAAATACATCAATATGTCTATTAATGCTTAAGCTCAACATTGTTTCGTGTTCATAACACAATTTCTGTTGAAAATTCCTCACAAGATTGTTGGAAAAGCATCATTTAAGTAAGCATTCGAACTAAACCTTTTATACACTGCAAAAGTTGAGATTAAATGCATAATCAAAAATAGTTTTGTATAGCACGCATAAAATCAATTTAGGTCAAGATATCAAGACTTGCAAAGATTGAAATTGCTAAACATTCGACATGAAATTAATACTAAAAAGGGAAATTTACCTAACAAATGGCAACTATTGGCATGACAATGACGACCGAAACCGGGAAATTCTGCCATCTGATTATGTTCAGAATAATACGACTGAAAAGTGTGACATCTATATTGCCGGTCAAAACATAAATTGCAATCCACGCTTGGAACAAATCCATAATTTACTTACATAACAGAAAATAATCAAGAACGGAATCGAGGGGTGTTTACAACATATATTTGCTCTGTCTCTACGCAGGTCATTCTTGACAGTTCAAGCAAACTTTCGCACGCAATGAAATTTCTGTTCAAAATAGCAAAAACTCAATAGTGAACAGAAATAACTAACAGTAATAAAAAATGCATAAATAAATCAAAATGCATCGTACACCTACTCTCCGTATGTCCGAACTTTGACGACAGCACGGGAGTAGCTTGAAAATCATAGTGGACGTTTGCTTCAGTTTAGTATTAAAATAATGAGTGAGATGGGAACAAAATGGAAAGGGTTAATGAAAGGCAACTCTTTCTTGTACTGAAGAAGAGTTGCGAACACTTGCAGTGTTATTGGATGTTAAAAATGGACTTCAGTTTCGCATCGAACTCGCATTCAGAGGATGTTCCACTTGGATAAATTGTGTAGATCCAATTAAGTCATCACAATGACTGCAGTAGATGAGATACACACTTCATAAGATGGTGCAGAAGACGTGTGATGAAAGCTCATGCAATGAGCTGACGGCGATAAAATGATGGAACAGTGTTGTAGCGGGTGTAATTTAGTAGGCGAACATGAGTAGGAGTAACATTATAATTGCAAGGACTTTGTTGAGCTTTGGGGGAATTTTGATTATTTGAAGTACGTTAGCAGGAGAGGTTATATTTACAAATAATAGTTACTTCAATTGCCTCGAAGAATTCTTTGTTCACGCCTGTTTTGAGATCTATGTTCATCACACGTTTTCTGCACGATCTTATGAAGTGCGTATCTCATCCACTGCAGTCACTGTGATGACTTAATTGGATCTACATCTTTAGTAGATAATCTTGTGGTCTGAACTGTAGAATATTCTTCGCTCTCAGTTTTCAGTTCATTTTCACATTAGTCTTCGAAAAATGAATAATTTCGCTCTCTCGTAGCAATATTGAAAATTAATAATTTGGATGCAATCTAAAAAGTCGCAATTTGGTACATAAAATTGATGACTCACTTTAGTGCAACTGTTTGGAACATACTTAGTAGAAATATGATTTCTTTAGAAACAGCCAAACTGGTACTTTCACTTCATCGTGAAAAAGAGGCTGTGTCTGTGTTGGTAGAAGAACACTACTCACAACGTCAAACGAAAATGGAGTTAATACAGTTGCATCTTAGACCTTTCATTGCATATATGGCATCAAGCGAGATGATTCGCATCTTAACGTTCTTAACAAATAATCTATATGCTGTCTTATCGAAAAACTTTCTTGAAAGTATACTGTGATTCCCTTCACAACAAATATCCTTCAATATTTGAACTTGATTCATTTCTGTTAGTTGAAATACTGGAATTTATTATGGTTCGCATTTAGGTTTTTATTTGGTATGCAATCAAAAAGTAATTGCAAGTAATTGCCACTAATGTCAAAAAGTCTCGAATGACAAAGGAATTTTTTCTCATTACATTTAGTCGCCTATTTATGTTGTAAACAAGTAAACTCACGTGTTTTCTTCTTTCTTTAGATAGATGACACTAAATTTTGCTGACTGTTACATTTTATACAAATTTTCTGACACAAAATACTTTAATTTTCTACTTTTTGTGTTCATTTCTCGTCCTTTCTTAATTAAAATTTTTTTCTTGATCAGTCCGAAACATACATTTCCACTGCAGTATTTTTACTGCGAGTGCTAGAAAACTGACTCAAAAACCAACTCAGTCCATGTTGTACTATGTCCTTCTCCACTCTTCAAAATACAAAAATTAAGTAAATTAGTATTTGAATGACATATCGGAGATTAATCTCATTATCTATGTCCGTTGATTCGGGAGCTGGACCACGTTCCTGCACTCTGGCTATACTTGTGTAGCGTTCAGTTCTGCCGTACCGACTTTCGCTGCTCCATCCCTGTCGAATCCACAGTGTTGATCGAATGAGATACTTGAACGTCTTGCTGACCACTATATTTGCATATATACCTCGATGTGATCAGATACACTGATTTTCTTCCTGTAATGTTTATGGAAGTTCGTTACAATCCCATCCCAAGTCATCACATACGAAATCACTATCGTTTGCATATATACCTCGACGTGATCAGATATACTAGTAAATCATACTTTCGCTTCTTCTCAGTCTCGATCGGCATCAACCTAGCCTGACGATTGATCCCAACCTCTATGAGAATTACTTCACAACGCTTCTTATCGTATAATAGGATGTGCGGTCGATCCGCTATTATTCTGTATCTACATAGTAGACAAAAGATTATGTCTGATCTTGGACGAAACATAAAATTTTCGTGTAATTACTGCTTTTATTATTTTCTCTGCTCTACTTCTGTCTGTTATGGCGATGTTGTGATGCGACGATGAAAGTGAATGGCGGAAATACCAGTGTGAGCAGTTGCGACAACAATCGTAATGGTATAGACAGTCAACAACGCCAGAACGATGGAAATGGTAGCAGTACGAGAGAACATTCCAGCATTCAAGGAGTCTCTGAAGGACCTTCTACGTCACAGGACTTCAAGAAGCGAAAAGAAGTTACAGACCATTACGACAGTGCTCATGCAACCCCTTGCTGCAGTATTTCTGAAGTAACAAAGACGAAACAAGGGAAGAAAGTGAAGAAGAATAACACGCATTGCACGAATAAAGCGGAAGAAAAGCCCGTTGCAAAACGAGATCGGAACCGAAAAAAGAATGCTGTGTGCTCGTACAGTCAGAATATCAAAAGTTCGAGAAGAAAATAGAGAATGAATGGAGAAAAACCGCATCTGAAAACATAGTGGAAAACAATTACAAAGCATATGAGGTTGTGAAAAGCTCTGTCAAAGACCTAAGAGAGCACTCTGCCAGCTTACCGCAACCAAGAACGAGCAGGATGATAACTTCAAGCGTAATCATTCGAGGAATCGAGGGTCCATAAAGTAGCTGACCAAGTGAAGTGCTAAAGCTAGTTCTTGACTGATTTAGGAGGATGCCGAGAGGGGGATGGCCCTTGTGTCATTCCCTGTATTGCGAGAAGTTTGTGTCGCGAGTAGCTTTCAACAACTGAAGAAACAAGCGAATGCTAAATCATCGGTATTGCAGGACGTCCGTGCTCACAGTTCTTGGAAAAGTCAACGAAACGTATCAAAGCACGAGATACGTATGCTACACAATTCTAAAACTTATTTAGATGTAAAGGAGGAATACCTAGTGCTGATGCAAGAAGCACAAGGACGTGAGATAGATGACTAGACAAAGTGAACGCGGAAAATAATCTAATAATCTTGGGAAAAGTTGACCCGCTTATACTTGGAGCGGTAAATCAAGGGCGGGTAAATATGCCATACGGAGTCCTCCCAAGTCAATGACTGATCTTGCAAGGCAATTCCAGGTAGCACAACAATGCTATAAAAATATGACAAGGCGGAAAATCGAGGTGGAAGGCAAGCATAGAAAAACGATAATTATGAACAACTTCGACACAACGCTCGCCAAGAAGTGTATGAGGGGCATGAATCTCATACTTGCTCTTACGTGACTGTCATGAAGTGTTAAACATACTGATAGAGAGTGTGAAAGTTCAAGGAGGTAAAAATAGGAGTTATGATACCCGGTGTGTATTCAAAATCCAAAAATGGATTCAAGCTGTTCAAGAAATCTGACCAAAGATCAGTTTGTTAGCCACAATGAAGGGAAAAAAGAGATCAAAGAGTTTTGAGTGATGATGTGGAATTCGCAAATGAGAGATGATGACAATACCTAAAAGAATTCGTTCCAGATTGTAAAGTGCATGATTTTTTTTATCTGAAGCAAAATGTGGAAAGATAGTTTTCTGTTTACTCAACTGCAAAGCGGCGGGCGCTGATGGAGTATACAACTTCATTAAAAAGTGCACCTCCTTGCATCGAGTTCCATACAAAATAACTGAGAGGATTTGCTTGGATGGGAAGTAACAGGACTCATAGTTCTATAAAGGCACGATGTATAACGTGTCCCAGATAAAGGTAGCCACTTTAAGCCAATACTTGCATGTCAAACCTTTACAAGTTGACAACGAAATGTGTGGCACGAGTCATACAACTAGATATTGCTACGAGAAAACTATTTGCAGACAACCAATTAGGAAATGTTACTCAAGTTCCAGTTGCGAAGGAACAAGCAATACCTGGAGGC